AGGATGCAAAGAATTACCTTTGTGGTTGTGCTAGGCTATTGGAATTTAGTTTTCCCCAGACACATTTTGAACCCCTCAACCCAATGCTATACCACAACCTGCCTTTGAAACTGCTTTGTGTGTTTTTGTTTTTTTTTAAGAAAGCTTACCATCTGGCATAGGAAGGGCTTCTGTTCAATAAAAACAAGTTTAACTCTTCCCATCGCCCCCGTCTCCCAGTAGTTGGAAGTAGTTTTGTGGTTCTCTTGATTTAGGCTGCGACAAAACTGGTTTGGAAGCTCAGAATAGGGTATGTGATGGGTCTGGCTTTTGGTTATGGAGGTTCCAGTGCCCTAAACGCAGGCTCTGGACGTAAGTGGTAGCTTTTGTATCCCTTGCACTTACACCAAATATTCTCCCAGAATATTTTCTCCGTTGTAAATGGTTGCAAACCTGAGATTTTAGAATAACTTTTAGAAAACAAACTCTTCCATGCAGTTTAGTTATATTTGCATTATTTTGTTCTGATTGCAAGTCAGAAATTGGGTAACCTTGGTAGAGGGTTTGGGTTTGTTTGTTCTGCAGAGTATGAACAGTCCTGGCTATAGCCCCCATGAAAATGTTGCAACTGCTGCCTTTGTCATTATGGACAAACATGCCGATATTGTTTCCATATATCTCTCTTTCATGTGCATCTTGACAGCGTATTAACATCTGCAGTGAAAATGAGCTCCATTCTTTGGCTGACAGATGGGTCCCTCTGCTCTTTATCTCCCATAGACAAAGAAATACACACATCGTATGTTGGATTTCCTTGATCGCTTAAACCATGTTAGGTCTTGGGGGGGGGATTTCTCCCACTCTTGAAATGTTTGAGCCATGATGAGAAATCGTCAAATAATAAAATACTTCTTTCTTAGATTCTTCTGGTTTGGGTGAATATATGAAACTGAAGGTCACTCCTATGGACCTGACAACAATTGTTGCCGCAGTTTCCATGAGTTTACTCACCTCTGTAATTCTTTTTCTTTGTTAAAGTTTGAGCCCATTTTTAACAAAGCAAAAAGCATCAGTGGGCCGAGTCCTTCAGGAACTTGTCCTCCACAAGCACCATTGAGATGAATGGGAGTGGTGAGAGAGCACAGCTTTCAAGATCCCCCATGCACTGTTGTGCACCTTCCATTCATTTCCCCCGGGGTCTGTTTCCCAAGCATATCTCCCATTGGCACCAGGTGTTCAGCCTGTAAAAATCTGCTCTGCTAGAAACCAGTGGGATATTTGGTCTATGAATGGGCAGGCCTTGAAGGGTAACGTCAAGGTGCTGACGGATGAAAATGCTCTCTTGCTTTCCTTGCTCACTGCAAGTCCTGGATTCACAGAAGCCATCCCGGTTTCTGATTTGATCCTGGAATGTCCCACTTTTTCTTAGGACATCCCTATTTTCACCAGAGAAATGTTGGGGGGTATGGAGTTAATGCGATCCCCGAGCCAAGGAGATAAGTAACTATACAACCACTCGAAGACATCTGAAGGCTGGTTTTTGGGGAATGATTTTACTGCTTACTGTTTTATTATTTTTTTTATATGGTGGCTATTTTGGGAGGTTGGATAGTTGCAATGGAATGGTTTCGGTGGTGAGGTGCACATTTTTATTCTTACTTATTTATGATTATTACTTTGTCAAAAAAATAATAATACGATGGCTGGTGCAACCAAGTCAGGTGGGTGGGGAATAAATAAGAAAACGATGATGATGATGGAATAGCACATTCCTATTTTCATCGGAGAAATGTTGGGAGAGTATGCAAAAGACCCGAGTTTTTACCTTGTGGAGGGAGATGTTTAAATTCCTCCACCTTCTGTTGTTTCCTAAGCCCCATCTGAGAACTTTCCAAACTGAGGAGGAGCAGTAGAGGAAGGCCACTTTTGTCCCTGTTGTTCCTCAACCGTATTGAAAGGAAGAGATCCCAACCGCTGGCCCCCGCCCTTTCTCTTTCCCCTCCGTTTCCCCCTCTCCTGCACAATGGAGCTTTCAGAGAACCTCTCTCCAAAAGGAATAGCTCCAGCCTTTGTGTTGAAGGGTGTGCCTGTTGGCAAGGCTTGCTGAGGCAGACAGCTTGGCTGGTGATTAACAAAGGTCATTAGACTTTGGAATCTGGCAGCCCGTGTCAGATGGTATGTCTTCTGTGCATAGGAGAACGGCTCCCAAGAGGCCGAGGCTTTCTGAAGGGCTCTCCCCTCCCTCCGCCTCTTCCCCTCCTTTTTCGTCCTCTCCATTCCTGTCCCCTCCCTCTCTCTTTTCTCTCCATCCTTCCTTATTTGTTTCTCTCGCTCTCAGGAAAAGGTCACCCTTCTGCGCCTTCATTCAAGCCTGTGGGACAATTTGGCCAAAACCCTTTTTCCTTCCTGTCGTCGTTGCTGGGATGTGGGTTTTTAAAATTATTTTTTGTGTGTGGAAGACAAAAGGAATCCTCTGAGATCTCTGTTGTTGTTCTTGTTGCCCATGGCTGTGTCAGGGAGAGTTGCTGGTGTCTATGACAAGCCACGGTGGTCTTCAGGCATCTCTGTGTAGTCCAAAGAAGAGAAGTCCTTCCTCGTCTCTGAAGAGGCTGGTCTCCTCCTAAAAATCAAAAACAAAAGCATCTTGGGGGAAGAGAGGGAGGAAGGAGGGTGCTTGGTTGGTGTCGAGGAAGGATCTTGCACGCTGGAGAAGAGGCTGAGATGTGTGGAGCCATGTTGCAGGCTGACTAGAAGCTCTGAGTCTATCTCTCTCTCTCTCTCTCTCTGAGTACATGACTTGTCTGAGCTAAAATGGCTGCACACAAACACACACATTCGCTCTCTCCCTCTCTCCTAAAGCTCAGAGGACTAGGGCAGCTTAGTGAGTCTTAAAGCTTCAGTGACGCAGAAGCTCATATCTCTTGGAAGTGTGATAAACACACATTCAGCAGAACTGTGGCTTGCTTGGCTCAGGCTGAAAGGGCTCTTACTGGGTGGCTGGGGTGAGTGGGGAGGAGGAGGTCAGGAGCATGGGCAGTGGAAACTGGGGGGTGAATCCCACCCCGCTTTTGTCTACTGCGACTTTCCATCTTCTCCTTCCTTTGGAGCATTCAGAATTCAAGAGTTGCCTGCTTGCACCATGGAGAGGGAAAGGAGGGGTGGAATTGTTTTCAGGTCTAATGGACTGTGCTGAAGGAGGGAGACTTTGTGGGGTGGGGCCTCCCTGCTGCTCCCGGCTGTAATTTGATCCAGAGCAGATAGCAAACCTCTTCTACAACCGTCTTGGGTCCAGGGCTTGCACATAAAAGGTTGAGGGTCTCCGTCGCCGCTAACTTTGTTAAGCTGAGAAACGACCAACCTTCGTTCTTTCGGCTGAAGGAAGGAGAAGGGGGGTGGGTTGCGCCCAACACATCACAGCGCTCAAAAGCCCTGCCAGGGGAGATGTGCCTTTTGTGCTCTCTTGTGTCCAAAGCGGATTTGAATGTTCTGCAGAAGTAACTTTATATCGCCCTGCCATAAGAGAATGGAATTTCCATTCTCAGGGCATGTTTTGGCTGCTGTTAGATCTCTTGGGCTTGTGGAGCTCCTCGCCTGAATGTGACCTGTAGGAGTATGTGAGGAGACTGTCAAAAAAGCCATCCATTGATTAAGATAATAGTTGCTGCTAGGTACATGCCATGCTGGGCTGAAATTACCTCTTAAATTCTTCTTCTTTTTTTAAAGCTTACCTTTTATCTACAATTTAGGAAGCTGCTCCTTTTCAACCTGTTTGGTAGCCCCCCCCCCCAATTATAGAAACAATAGATTTAGCAGGTCATCTACTGAAGTGACATCCTTACCTCTGAGTAGTACTGGTCTACTGCTTCATATAGTGAAATGCAGACACTGGGAAAAAAAAATTATTTCCTTTCATGCTGTGGAGATACTCATTTTACTTCCCGGAAGAAGGACTAGGTGCTATATTCTCTCAGCAAACTCAGCAAAATAAATTATTATTATTATTATTATTATTAATAATAATAATAATAATAATAATAATGAGATTTTTAAAGAATCAGTACAACTGAAATGTGAAAGACCAAATTTGAAAGACCAAAGTTTACTCCTGAAATCATGAACATACCACCAAGGAGCAAACTCTGGTTACGGGTCATACTTAATCTGGAGAGAGGTTTGGACTGTGCGCTAAGCCAAGCCATTGCTTAGCTCAGCATTGTGCAGAAAGAAAACTAACCAAGTTGACACAATCTCCCGGCAGCCTCTTGTGTTCGTGCTATAACCAAAGTTTAGCTTGGCGTGACAGGCAAGCTACGCCACAGGCCTGTAGTACTAAAAGTATATAAAAAAAAAGGTTGCAAAAAAGGGAGATCACTAGTTAAAAGTATTTGGCCCCGATACAGATATCTAGGCTATGGTGTTGGGTGATCCCAACTCGCCTTACTTAGGCTAGTCATGTCCTCTTAGTCTCTAACCTTCTTTTAATCCTTATTGAGAAGGATTAAAAGAAGGAGGTACTGGATGAGGCACACCATATATGCGACTTGAGCTTAATGGCGCAAGTGTGGGATAAAACACAATAAGTAAATAGTGTTCAGCTTTTAGGGCAGTGTCAGAAAACTCCTTTGCCCCCTAACTACAGTTGCACTGCATTTTATTGTTTATGACTCTCCACCACATGCTTCCTTCTTCATTGTTAGAGATGTTAGCAGCAGGTAAGAGTTGAATCAGGTGGGTGGGAGAAAGCCAACTGGGCAAGCCCTGGGCACAAAGTAGATCTGAGTCATATCTGATTGTTTCTTGAAGCACTTCTGAGATTCCGGAAATAATCTCCTGCTAGTTTTTGTTTCTTCGTTTTTGTAAAAAAGGCATCTTTTTGGGGTATCATTTCCTTATATTTGCTCATAACTAAAACTGTGCTACTGAAACTTTAAAAAATAAAATAAATCAGTAATCTGTATGCTTCTTATTTATGGAGAAAAGATGTCTCTGACATTTTGCTTCTTCTACTTTCTTTTTTTCAGGCTTTCCTGATGTAAAACTTACCAATAAGGACTATGGAGGTGCTGCAGTGTGATGGCTGCGATTTTCGAGCACCATCCTACGAAGATCTTAAAGCTCACATTCAGGATGTTCACACGGCGTTTTTGCAACCCACAGATGTCGCTGAGGAAACTCCTAGCCAGTCAAGGTTTAGCTCTATGAATAGCAATGACCAGGCTGAGGTGGAATATTCTTCTGTAAAAGATGAATTTGGAATTACGGATGAGATAGCAGGTAAAAAAAGAGTACCTTTCTAAAGTCCTTTATTGAAATGTCGTTTTAAGATTTTATTTCATTGGCGCATCCTCAGGTTGTTGTCCACGTTTGTGTGTTGTGACAGTTTATAAATGAGAACAGAAATCGCTTTATAAGTGGACTGGCACCTATAGTGTTCATATTCAACGGGAAGCGCCCATGTTTTGCAGTTGAGCGTTGGGATTCCATCACAAACCTATGTTGATTTTATTGCAATAGCCTATAACAAATTGTAGCAACTGCATGCTACTACAGGGGATACCAGGGATGCGGGTGGCACTGTGGTCTAAACCACTGAGCCTCTTGGGCTTGCCAATTGGAAGGTCGGCGGTTCGAATCCCTGCAACGGAGTGAGCTCCCATTGCTCTGTTCCTGCTCTTGCCAGTCTAGCAGTTTGAAGGCACACCAGTGCAAGTAGATAAATAGGTACTGCTGTGGCAGGAAGGTAAACGGTGTTTCCTTGCGCTCTGGTTTCTGTCACTGTGTTCCGTTGCGCCAGAAGCAGACGTCATGCTGGCCACATGACCCGGAAAGCTGTCTGTGGACAAACACCAGCTCCCTCGGCCTGAAAGCGAGATGAGCGCCGCACCCCATAGTTGCCTTTGACTGGACTTAACCGTCCAGGGGTCCTTTACCTTCACCTATATCACAAGTGTTAATTAAGTAGACATAATTAGGCCCATCACATGTTAGTTCCAACTCCTGATCAAAGGTTAAAAAGAAAAAAGTCAGGTGTGGGAAATTTTTGATCTGCCTTGGTGAGCCAGATCTTTTATCTCCCTCTGCTCGGGGGGGGGGGGGGGAGGCAACTTTGACAAGTGGACACCCATTGGTCCATTATCTGATGCCAGGTGATTGATGGGTGAGTAGCCCCGCCCAACTTTGAAAAGATTGCCTACCAGGTGGGGAGAGGTACTGCACAATGCAGGAATGAACTCCCTGTGCATCAGTTGATGTACAGGGGGTTTAACTCTGCTTTTTGCAGCCACATCTCTCCCTGATGTCACATGTGGTACAGGTGGGTATGACTCCAGAAGAATGACCTCACAGGCAAAATGAGGAGGCTTGGTGTTGCCACGTTTTGCTTAGGGCCTTTTTGTGCAGCATTTATCCCCTGGCAAACACTGCTTTTAGTTTTATATTGCACTCAGAAGATGCATTCAGGAACTATAACACTAATTCCTAGAAATGTAATTGTATTTGCATTTATGCATTTATTCACATGCATACCAGTGAAGCTAATAATGGACACACATTCCAAGAGTGGCATTGATGGAGTATTGACGGAAGTGCTTCCTTACCAGTTTTTTGCAACTAGGTCTACTTAGCTGTATGTAATGGTAATAGTTAATAACAACCTGCTTTTTAACCTAAGGTCCCAGGGTGCAGTGCAACAATTTAAAATACAACATTAAAAAAACATGTTTTTAAAATAGTTATGTGTGACATCGAAATTCGACTGGCGTTTCATCCCATCGTTGTTTTAATGCATTTTTTAAAATCATTTGGAATTATGTGAACTATATTTTTTAAAAAGCTTAATAGTAGAGTAACAGAATGATAAGAGTTTAGAAGGGGTGCTTCAAGGACATCTAGTCAAACTCTCTACTCATTGAATCCAGAGCCTTCCTAACATATGGTTGTCCATCTTGAAGACCTCCAGTGAGCGAGAGCTTACTTCACCCCTCTGGGTAACTGGTTCCATTGTTGAGTTGTTCCCGCTATCAAGGTTCTTTTCTGACATTCAACTGAAGCCTGCCCTGCTGTAGCTTAAACCCCTTGAATCTAGTCCTGCCTACAGGGCATAAGTCTTTCTCCTCTTCTACCATTGCAGTTCACATCTCCCATCAACTTATGTGTTTAATCACTGACACTTCCCTATGAGAGGACATGTAAGCAAAAATGACATTTCATCACATCATAGGAAGTATCTATGCTATGAACTCAGTTGTTGTGTTGTTGTTGTTGTTTAGTCATTTAGTCGTGTTTGACTCTTCGTGACCCCATGGACCAGAGCACTCCAGGCACTCCTGCCTTCCACTGCCTCCCGCAGTCTGGTCAAATTCATGCTGGTAGCTTCGAGAACACTATCCAACCATCTCTGTCGTCCCCTTCTCCTTGTGCCCTCAATCCTTCCCAACATTAGGGTCTTTTCCAGGGAGTCTTGTCTTCTCATGAGGTGGCCAAAATATTGGAGCCTCAGCTTCAGGATCTGTCCTTCCAGTGAGCACTCAGGGCTGATTTCCTTCCGAATGGATAGGTTTGATCTTCTTGCAGTCCATGGGACTCTCAAGAGTCTCCTCCAGCACCATAATTCAAAAGCATCAATTCTTCGGCGATCAGCCTTCTTTATGGTCCAGCTCTCACTTCCCTACATCACTACTGGGAAAACCATAGCTTTAAATATACGGACCTTTGTTGGCAAGGTGATGTCTCTGCTTTTTAAGATGCTGTCTAGGTTTGAACTCAGTACTTACGGATAAATGCAGACTTTATTTTTTTAAAAAAAAAAAGTTCAGCTGTTTTGGCATTGTCATCGGGCTTGTAAATCATGTAAATAATTGTGGTTCACATTATAAAAATAAATAAATTATGTATTTGGTTTTTCAGATTAAAATTTTACAGTCAAATATCCAACATACAACATAAAAACAAGATTCCAAGGAATCTCCTGGACTTCCCTCCTCCCCTTTGTGGGTCCTACTGTTAATCATTTCCTCCTGCATCTTTACGATAATCCAAATCTTTTACCTCTCCATATTTACCTGGCAGGGGAGATACCATGATCACATATTTTTTAATTAAACAATTGTTGTTGTTGTTGTTTTATTTCTGTCCTGCCTTTGTTCCCTAACAGAGACTCAAGGCAGTTTACGGATAAAATAAGAATAGCTAAAAGCATGTTGGGGAAATTATTTTTAAAAGAACAGTTAAACATTAATAGAATTAAAACTATCTATCTACAGTATCCATCATCTATCTATCTATATCTATCATCTATCTATCTATCTATCTATCTATCTATCTATCTATCTATCTATCTATTATCTATCTATGTATCTATCATCTATCTATATCTATCATCTATCTATCTATCTATCTATCTATCATCTATCTCTATCATCTATCTATCTATCTATCTATCATCTACCTACCTACCTACCTACCTGAACTATTTAAAACACAGATAAAAAGTTCAATATCAAATTCAAGGATTTCTAAAACACTGTTTTATTCTCTCTCTTTTTTAGGACAAAATGCAGCTCAGCTGGGGACTGGAAATTATTACAGCCATAGCCAGAGTTATTATGGCCAGCATATGCTCTCCAAGCCAGCGAGCAAGTTTTTCCAGTGCAAATTCTGTGTGCGTTATTTCAGATCCAAAAACCTACTCATAGAGCATACGCGGAAAGTGCATGGTGCTCAGGCGGGAGGATCTCCAGCTGGATCGCCCGGTACTAGCTCCTTAAATTACAACATTATGATGCACGAGGGCTTTGGTAAGGTTTTTTCTTGCCAGTTCTGCACCTACAAGTCTCCGAGGCGTGCGAGGATTATTAAGCACCAGAAGATGTACCACAAAAACAGCCTGAAGGAGAGCTCCACCCCTCCCGCCGCTTCAGCTGCTATATCTGAATCGGCATCGACATCTGTGCCAGTACAGGACTCTTGCAAGGAACTCCCAGCCGAAGTTGTAGAACGCAGTATTTTGGAGTCTATGGTCAAGCCTTTGACCAAGTCGAGAGGGAACTTCTGCTGCGAATGGTGTAGCTACCAGACGCCCCGAAGGGAACGCTGGTGCGACCATATGATGAAAAAGCATCGCAGCATGGTGAAAATATTGTCAAGCCTGAGGCAGCAACAGGACGGGACCAACATGCCAGACGTATCAAGCAAGGGTCCACCAAGCCCCACTCCAAACACCAACTACATCCCTATGAATGCCTCTGGGCGGGAGATGCCGAATGCAAACCTCCCAAACTACAGAGGCTCTATGAACAATTCTCTTGTCAGGTCCAACACTTCTACTTCTTCAAAGTTTTCTTCTGTTTCTTACCCTCACATGAAACACAAAGCACCTCACAACTCTGGCATTGTTAATTTGTCGGACAGGTCTCGCTACGCGATGGCCGACATGGCAAATTCTTCCGCCGATATGGATACAAACAGTATGCTCAATGACTCCAGTTCTGACGATGAGCTAAATGAACTAGACAGTGAAAATGGGTTGAACTCCATGGATCACCAAACCTCAGGGCTAACTGCAGAGCAACTGATGGGGTCTGAGGGCCACAAGTTACTGGAAACAAAGGGGATCCCCTTTAGGAGGTTTATGAATAGATTCCAGTGCCCCTTCTGCCCTTTCCTTACCATGCATCGGCGGAGCATTTCCCGCCATATTGAAAACATCCATCTGTCTGGAAAGACAGCAGTATACAAATGTGATGAATGTCCATTTACTTGCAAGAGCTCGTTCAAACTCGGAGCTCATAAACAGTGTCACACCAGTGCAGCGTCCGACTGGGATGCAGTGAATTCCCAAACAGAAAGCATAGCTTCTTCGCTAAATGAAAGCACAGTATCCTACGAAGGGGGCAATATAAATGGCAGGAAGTCTGGTGGGTTAATGGATTCCATGGGGCAGCAGCAGCAACAATCTCCGCAGTCCAACTCGCAGCATCCATATAAGTGTACCATGTGCAATTATTCCACAACTACTTTGAAAGGTCTCCGGGTTCATCAGCAACACAAGCACTCGTTTTGCGACAACTTGCCAAAATACGACGGCCCATCCTCAAATACTCCACAAGACAGTGAGCCTGATGCTCACGCCTCTCCCAGCACCGTGAAGAAAAGTCAGACCTCAATTCTTGGGCTGTCTTCTAAAAACAACTTCGTAGCTAAAGCCTCTCGGAAGATGTCCAGTGACTTTCCGCTCGATCTTTCACCAGTGAAGAAGAGAACTAGGATCGATGAGATAGCTAGCAATTTGCAAAGCAAAATCAGTCAAAACAAGCAACAGGAAGATGCAGTGATTAACGTAGAGGAGGAGGAGGAAGAAGAAGACGACAATGAAGTGGAGATAGAAGTTGAGCTGGACAAGGAAGAAGAACAAGGAGAGCCGCTGATGGAAATTGCAACATTTGCTTCCCAGCAAATGTGGGGAAGAGATACCATCGAGTCTCAGAAAGAGCCCAACTACAGGAGCATTGGCCATGATTACAATTCCACCAATGGGGCAGAAATTGAGCTAACTATATCTGAGGATGAAGAGGACTATTATTGTTCTTCAATTGGCTTGAAAGACCAAGGTCTGAATTCATCTGCTTTGGGCAGCCAGTCCAGTATATATGGATCTGACCAAAACAATGAAAATTCTGATTATGGTGACTCCGGAAGGCTTTACTATTGTAAACACTGTGACTTCAGCAACAAATCCGCCAGGAGTGTTAGCACTCATTATCAACGGATGCATCCATACATTAAATTCAGCTTTAGGTATATCCTGGATCCCAATGATCACAGTGCGGTGTACAGGTGTCTCGAATGTTACATTGATTATACAAACTTTGAAGACCTGCAGCAGCACTATGGGGAGCACCATCCTGAAGCCATGAATGTACTAAATTTTGATCATTCCGATTTGATCTACCGCTGCCGTTTCTGCTCTTACACTAGCCCGAATGTTAGGAGCCTGATGCCACATTACCAAAGAATGCACCCAACAGTTAAAATTAACAATGCAATGATATTCTCCAGCTATGTGGTTGAACAGCAAGAGGGCTTAAGTTCAGAGTCGCAGACTCTCAGAGAGATCTTGAACTCCGCTCCGAAAAGCCTGGCCTCTCCAGCTCCCGTTGCCCGTGGGACTGGCGTACCTGCTGCTTTTAACAAAAATTCTCCGAAGAGTAATAGCCCAGAATCCGAAAGCCAGAAGGAGTCGTCAGTAAACAGCGTTGTGGTTTATGACTGTGATGTCTGCTCGTTTGCAAGCCCTAACATGCATTCTGTCTTAGTTCATTACCAGAAGAAACACCCTGAAGAGAAAGCTTCGTACTTCAGGATTCAGAAGACGATGCGTGTCGTGTCTGTTGAGAGGGGCTCTGCTCTGGCTCAGATGGCTTATGAACTGGGATCGCCCATCTCCCCCAAAATGTCCAATATGGCTTCACAACTGCCACCTCCACCACCTCCAGACCTTACGACTGAGCTTTACTACTGCAAACATTGCTCTTACAGCAACCGCTCAGTGGTTGGCGTGCTTGTGCATTACCAGAAAAGGCACCCAGAAATAAAAGTGACTGCTAAATACATAAGGCAGGCACCTCCCACTGCAGCAATGATGAGATCTGGAGAGATCCCTCCTGGTGTTCCCAGGCCACCAGCATCTATGCAACAGCTTAACCGGGGCAACTCTGAGAGTGCCGCCTCGGAGAATGAGATGTTCTTCTGCCAGCACTGTGATTATGGAAACCGGACTGTGAAAGGCGTGCTCATACATTACCAAAAGAAGCACCGCGATTTCAAAGCCAATGCAGATGTAATTAGGCAGCACACAGCCACAATCAGGAGCCTTTGTGATCGTGGCCAGAAAAACTCCCCCGGCGGCATGCAGACTCCCGCTTCCAACGCCGAGCGAGAGAAGGCTAAGCTGAGAGCTCTCAAGTGCAGGCAGTGTTCTTACACCTCTCCTTATTTCTACGCACTTAGGAAGCACATTAAAAAGGACCACCCGAGCTTGAAGGCCACAGTCACCTCTATTTTGCGATGGGCATTTTTGGATGGCTTAATAGAAGCCGGGTATCATTGTGAGTGGTGCATCTATTCTCACGCCGAACCCAGCGGCTTGCTTGTGCATTACCAAAGGCGACATCCTGAGCATTATGTTGACTATACATACATGGCGACAAAGCTCTGGGCAGGGCCAGATCCTTCGCCTCCAGCCTTACTGATCCCATCAGAGATGAAGACATATAAATGCAGAGACTGCATTTTTGAAGCATCTTCCATTTGGGACATTACTAATCACTACCAAGCTTTTCATCCCTGGGCTATGAATGGAGATGAGTCTGTATTACTAGATATTATCAAGGAGAAAGATGCAGCCGATAAAGCCATCCCAACAGCCAACGATGCTGGAGCCAGGGTCAATTCGGAGGGCCAGATGGCCGGGCCACATGTGGACCAGGATGCAGAATATGCAGAGGATACAAACCTGGTCCAGGACAAAGCTATCCAGCTCACCTCTGCAAACCCTGCAATCTCATCAACGCCATACCAGTGCACAGTGTGCCAGTCGGAGTACAACAATTTGCATGGACTTCTGACCCACTATGGCAAAAAGCACCCTGGGATGAAAGTTAAAGCTGCAGATTTTGCACAAGACATAGATATTAACCCAGGAGCTGTGTACAAATGTAGGCATTGCCCGTACATTAATACACGCATTCACGGTGTTCTCACACACTACCAGAAAAGGCACCCCCTGGTGAAGGTCACCGCGGAAGATTTTGTGCACGATGTGGAGCAGCCAAATGACATGAACCAGAATGAGGTGGAGGAGACCAGCAGAATTTTCAAGCAAGGATACGGCGCTTACAGGTGTAAATTGTGCCCTTACACGCACGGCACGCTAGAGAAGCTCAAAATCCATTACGAGAAATACCACAACCAGCCTGAATTTGATGTGTTTGCACAGTCTCCTCCTAAGCTGCCGGCCTCTGTGGAGCCTGAAGTCGTCGCTGAGATTAAGCCCTCTCCAGAAATCTCTCCGGAGGAGATCATTGGAGACGATTCGGTGCCTCCTTCGCACTTCTCGAGTTCCCACCTGGTGTCCCACACGGTGTTTCGGTGCCAGCTCTGTAAGTATTTTTGCTCCACCAGGAAAGGGATCGCTAGGCACTACCGGATAAAACACAACAACGTCCGGGCCCAGCCGGAAGGGAAGAACAACCTTTTCAAATGCGCCTTGTGCTCCTACACGAACCCTATCCGTAAAGGCTTGGCTGCGCATTACCAGAAGCGCCACGACATCGACGCCTACTATACGCACTGCTTAGCTGCTTCGAGGACTGTCAGCGACAAGCCCAACAAAGTGATCATCCCGTCGCCCCCGAAAGAAGATTCCCCCCAGCTAAGCGAGGAGCTGAGGAGGGCAGTGGAGAAGAAGAAGTGTTCTCTCTGCTCTTTTCAGTCCTTCAGCAAAAAGGGAATCGTCTCGCACTACATGAAGCGACACCCAGGCGTGTTCCCCAAGAAGCAGCACGCCAGCAAGCTGGGGGGCTACTTCACCGCCGTGTACGCGGATGAGTACGAGAGGCCGCAGGCTCCGCCGGAGGAGAGGAATGAGTTGGAGAAGCCAGAAGTGGAGGTGGAGGCTCCCGAAATGGAGTGGCTCCCTTTCCGCTGCGTCAAGTGCTTCAAGCTCTCCTTCAGCACAGCCGAGCTGTTGTGCTTGCACTACACCGATCACCACAGCAAGGACCTGAAGAGAGACTTTGCCATACTGGGGAGCGGCCCCCGTTTCCAGAACCCCATCTTCCAGTGCCGGCACTGCGACAGCAAGCTGCATAGCATGGCGGAGCTGACCTCGCACTTGAACAGCCACAACGAGGAATTCCAGAAGCGTGCCAAACGCCAAGAGAGGAGGAAGCAGCTTCTGAGCAAGCAAAAATATGCAGATGGTGCTTTTGTAGATTTCAAACAAGAGAGGGTAAGGATATGTTTGCACATTTTAGATTTATGTTTGGTGTTCTCTCTCCTTCCCCACCCCCAGGAGATTTCTCGTTAGTGGCGTCCAGATGCACATTCCCTTTGGCAGCTGAGGAGATACAGGCACACCAGTGACTTGGTGTGCCAATAAGCCCTAAGTCAATTAAACATTGCCACTTGATTACACCCCCTTCTTTCATTTCTTCCACCTCTTCCTCAAAGCCCTGGCGTGTCCTTTCCTCCCCTCCCACCTCCCCTTCTTCATTGCAAAGCCAGTTTCTCTTTGGCACCAGTTCCTGCCAGCTTTCCAGTATGACAAAACCTCTGGTTTTTTCTACCTGCCCCTCTGCCCTTTGGTATGATATGACCAACATTTATTCTCATTTCTCAGCTGCAGCGTGAAAAATTACTCAGAAGAAAGCCTGATGCAGGGGAAGCCAATGTGGTACCCTCCAGATGTTGTTGGACTCCAGATGTTGTTGGACATCAGCCCCAACCTGCATGTGGCCAATGGTCATGGAGGATGGGAGTTGTAGTCTAGCAGCATCTGGAGAGTACCATGAAGCCCACTGAGTTAAAGCGTTTTCCTTGTGTAAGGCTAATCAAACCTTTCCTTAGTTTACTTAGAGCAACTCACTTCCTTTGGTAGGAGTTTTAAGCAACTTATTACAGTTGCTTAACTGCAGAGCCTACAGGGGCCTACAGATGTTCTTGGACCAATTCCCACCATCCTCTGTCATTGGCCAGGTTATCTGGGGCTGATGAGATTTGGGAGTCCACAGGTTCTCCAACTTATTACGTACATGCTTGGGGGTTACCAATAAACGCATCCAGTTGGATCAACTACTATTGAAGGGAGACTGGATTTTGGTTTGTCAGGAGCCTAGTTCTCAAGCTGGATCCTTACTTAATGGGGACCCATATGTCCAGGAAGACTTCTGCTGACTTTCAGTTTCATCAAATCTTGGCATATTGTTAGATTAGTTAAACAAATCAGGTCCATAAATAGTGGTTTAAAAGTGGCTTGTATGGCAGTCATTTAAACCAGGGTTTACATAGCAGTTCAAAACCGCAGGTACTTTCATGAGTACAGTATATATTCACTAAAAATGTTAAAATACCGTAATGTTAAAAAGCCCAAGAAATCTTGGGAAGCGAAGCTTTGTGAGGATAATGAGTGCTCTCTGCAAAGGATATCTAGTGCTTTCACGCGCATGTGAATACAAACAATATCTGAGCTGAGTTTTCCTACATTTCCAAGGAATTGGGGCAATATTTTAATGGTGCAGCATGCATTTAAGAAACCTTCAGACGTCAGCCTTTAGATGAAACAGTGCTGCCCCAGTGGCTTCCTCATTGTGTAATAAGCATACTATTCCAAATTTTATTTGCGTTGCTTGTTTAGAAACCTATTTAAATTTGTTTCAGGAAAGAAACCGCTTTTTAAGTTTCTAATTGTTGTTGCCTTACAGCCTTTTGGTAATGTGGAAGAAGTTTCAAAACTGAAGGAGAGGAAAGTGGTGGGCTACAAGTGTAAATTTTGTGTGGAAGTTCATCCAACCCTTCGCGCTATCTGCAACCATCTTCGTAAGCACGTTCAGTACGGGAATGGCTCCTCGGTGTCTGCTGCAGTCAAGGTGAGAGAATAGTTTGGGGACTAAAGGCATAATTGCATTAAGAGGAAAATGGGCCAATTGACAGTGTTTTCTGGCGCTGGCACCACATTACCACAGTTAATTTTTTATTATTATTTAAAAAACTGCTTGTTCTTTTTATTGGATTCAGTGTTAACTTGTTTCCTAGATCACAAGTCTCTCCCCCCCCCCCCCCGATGCATGGGAATATTTTTTCTTTTTTAGAACAGATGGTCTAGACTCTTGAGCAAAAGGGTATTTTTAATTCCGAGTTGCTCTTGTACTTTTCTAAAGATCGCTTTAAAAATAAAAAAGTACAACAGCAAATCAGAACAATTTTTTTAATAAAAAAAAAGTATTAGGGAATATGTTTGTAAAAGTTAGTGTACTTAACAGTTAAAGTGGAGGTGTACAAGCTGTGTATGCAAGTCCAGGTGTATGCTGCAGAATTCAGCTTCCTTTTGAAAATCAGTTTCCCTTTCCCTTTTTTTAAAAGCCGCTTTCTGGTCCCTGTTAGGAATGAAGGTACGCTTGAAAATGCACAGGTTAACCCTAATGCGGGGGAATCCCCCTTGAACCACGGGGAAATGGGCTCCATTGTGAGCTCCAGTTATCAGTAGGATTGACAAGAGTGCAGAATCTCTAGCTTTACGGAGGCTTTAGCCCTTGTTCCAGGCTTTCTCTACTTTCCCCAGGCAATACATCTTGCCTACACAATGCCAGAATAATAATAATTCCTTCTCAAGGTCTTCAGCACTTTCCACGCTCTTTTCTGTGGTCTTCTCCCAAGGCAGCCACCGTAGTCCCCCAGCTTCCTCAAGGGCCGGGTGACGGGGGAAGCCCCTTCTCAGACCACATGTACATTCCTGCTGGCAGGGGGGCAGCTAAGAGCCAATTGTCCCTTAGACCAGCCTTGGCTTGCTAGCCAATCTCCTCTCTCTCCCCGCACCTCCAAGCCTTTGACGGTTGCCTCTAGGCCAGGCATGGCCAAACCTGGCCCTCCAGGTGTTTTGGAACTACAATTCCCATCATCCCTGACCACCGGTTCTGTGAGCTAGGGATGATGGGAGTTGTAGTCCCCAAACACCTGGAGGGCCGAGTTTGGCCACCACTGCTCTAGGCTATTTAAGCTCAGGAGTGCCAAACTGTTCTTCATTAGTGTTAGGTAGCAGCAGCTGTCCCCTGCCCCGCTGCTCTCTTGGCTTAACTGAAGTGTATCCCTGGCTCCTATAGAGGTGGGTTTGGGCCTTCTTAAAGGCCTAGTCCTATTAGCCGTTCGCCTGAGGCGATCACCTGCGGATCTTCGCATATAGCAATGCCGGATGAACTTTCAGGAGCCAGAGAGTTGATGGCATAAGGTTTCCGGTGTTCTGGGGCAAGGCATCAGTGCCTCCTATGACTCTTCAGCGAGCTGAAGCAGATTTATTAAGCAAATAAAAGAAACCATACTGGTTCGCTCAGTTTGCATAGCTTATGCACAATACAGGGGTACCTTGGTTCCCGAACGGCTTAGCTGTCAAACAAATTGGCTCCCGAACGCTGCAAACCCGGAAGTAAGTCTTCCGGTTTGCGAAAGTTTTTCGGAAGCCGAACGTCCGACGCGGCTTCCGCTTGAGTGCAGGAAGCTCCTGCAGCCAATCGGAAGCCGCGCCTTGTTTTTCGAACGGCTTTGGGAGTCGAACGGACTCCCGGAATGGATTAAGTTTGAGAACCAAGGTACCAGTGTATACATTTTGTTGCTGCAGAGGGTCTGTCTGCTGTAAGGGAGAAGGTGGCCTTTCAAATATCACGCAATGAAAGAGATTACGTTACTTTATCTTGGGAAGCTCTTCATAGGCTAGAAGTTGACAGTGCATAGCTGCATTTGAAGCAAATGAGGAGGGGGAAAAACATTTACGCCATTCTCATTTTTTAAAAAATAGAGCATGAGCTGTACAGTTTTGTGCCAGAGTTAGACCAGTAAGCTGAAGGGAGGAGAGCAAGCATTTTATAAGGAAAGTTGGCATTTCCTTAGAATTCACGTTGTTTCCATCTGACAGAGGGAGCTGCTATGGGGAAAAAAATTATTGGCAATCTTGGAAAACGATGTGCTCCAGCAGCACTGTCAGCCACCAATGCAGTCAGGATGCTTGTTTCTTTAGAACAGTGTTTCCCAAGCTTTGGGTCCCCAGCTGTTTTTGAACTACAAGTCCCATCATCCCTGAACACCACTTCTGCTAGCTAGGGATGATGGGAGTTGTAGTCCAAAAAAAACAGCCGGAGACTCAAGTTTGGGAAACACTGCTTTTAGAGACATCTTTTTCATTTGTGAGTTCAGTGATATTTTTATTATTCTTTATTTTATTTTATTTTATTTTGAGAGCCTGCTCATAGCTGGGATTGTAGAGGTTCTGCTATTAGAGGAAAACCATAGACTTCCATAGATTTAATAGTAAACTATAGGGCAGAAGGGAGAGAGAATTGATGGCTTTGGGGGGGATGTGTGTCTTTTAGCAGGAAGCTGAAGATCCTTCAAATGCAGCTTTCTTGGAGGGTGTTGAGGGACCCAAAGACCCTGGCAGTGTTTCCACTGTGGAACTTGCAGAAGCTGAATCTGGACCATCACTGGAAGATGAAACCAGGCCTGGTGGCTACCACTGCAGCCAGTGTGACCGGGTTTTGATGTCTATGCAGGGTCTACGATCGCACGAGAGGAGTCACTTGGCATTGGCCATGTTTACTCGCGAAGACAAGTACAGCTGCCAGTATTGTTCCTTTGTCTCTGCTTTCAGGCACAAGTAAGTCTATATTGTTTTACCATTTCTTCTGCTCACCATTCAGTTAGCACTTGCCTGTGTGCTAAAAGGCGGGATTCTATATCCACACAGAAGCATGTATTGTTTTCTTGATGCACTGATATTGGATGGGCATTGCCAACTCGGAATAGCAAGTTTTTCACTGTGGCCTGCCAGTTACGTATGTAGGAATCGTGACAATTTGTTTTAAGTCTCCAGACTTCATCTGCAGAGAGATATATAGTTCAAAATGTAGGACAGAAATCAGATGCACACCAGACTCTCAACATCCTATTGCAAATTTCAATCTCTCTCTCTATTTATATATTTATACACACACACACACACACACAATTTTTCAAATTTTATAATCACAATAATTCATATATTCAATACTTTTCCAAGAATACAATATAGACTCCCTCCACCCCTGTCCTGAATTCCAATTTACTCCCCCATAATTTCTTGCACCTCATTTTATTTCTCCAAATTCTTTGTTTTCCCTCTTATTTATCTTAATTCCCAGTTGTATAATTACATAAATGGTATATCAAACCTGCAAAGCAAATTTCAGTCTCAGTTAAAACCAACATCCCCCCTATTCATTTATGCTTTTTAAAGATTGGCCGCCAAGTGGCCCCACCGAGGATCCATGCTAGGGAGCAAGTCTGTCACACGCCTGAGTCAATGTGCTGCACACCTTGCATCAAAGAATAATAAATAAAGAATATGATTGGTTGTCTCACAAATGTGTATCATATCTGAGAGAAGGTGACCCAAGAGCTGTGTTTGCTTTCAGTAGGCAAATGTATATAAATAAATGAATTATTTTCAAATTGGCCCTTCGAGTTGGGATACGCCGCAAATTTAACAGTAATTGCTGGGATTGCTCAATTGGTGAAGCACGAGACTCTTAATCTCAGGGCTGTGAGTTTGAGCGCCACACTGGGCAAAAAGATTCCTGAATTGCAGGGGATTGGATTAGATGACCCTTCTTGGTCCCTTCCAGCTCTACAGTTCTATGACTCTATGAATCACTGTTCCAGGGTACACAAACTGAAGACAACACAAGTCGTGCCCCCAAACTCTAGCCCAGAGTTTGGGGGACACTTAAACCCATGATGTTGGGTTGTGGTCTGTTAGGTGTTAGCTTCATTGCAAACTTATTGTTGCTATGATTTGGGGAATGAGATTTTGTATCTGTGAACAGTTCCCTCCCCCCTTTTTTGCCCTCTCGATCTACCTGTTCTTAACACGAAAATGTGTGCTTTGGCGGGGAAGTGGGGTGCGTTGTAACTGTAGAGATTCATGCATTGAACTGACAGTACAGATGTTTGGGCCTCTACAACTTTTTGCCATTCTTTACAGGATAAACCACTCACTGCAAAAATGTCCATGATGGGAACAAGAGAGAATGTGGGGCAGTTATTTATCTCTTTGAAGTAGATGCCTTTGCCTCCCTCCACCCCTGACCACATCGCCCCAATCTGAGCCTTTCCCCGCTCTACTCTGTTTGCACACAGTGTCACCATTGAGTTGTCAGTGCTGGATCTCTTTAAAAGCAGGCAACTGGATTCATGCCTGCCTTATTGCTCTCAGAATACAGTGGTATATACGCTTCAGGTTACATAGACTCTGCTAACCCAGAAATAGTACCTTGGGTTAAGAACTTTGCTTCAGGATGAGAACAGAATTCATGCAGCGGTAGCAGGAGGCCCCATTCGCTAAAGTGGTGCTTCAGGTTAAGAACGGACCTCCAGAACGAATTAAGTTCTTAACCCGAGGTACCACTGTACTACCATCATTTCATTGTGTGCCTGGTGCAGAGGCCTGGACAGTGAAGTAGAAGAAGCCATATTTAAGCTGTAGTCCCAAACACACGTACTAGGGAGTAAACCTCATTGAACAGAGCAGGAGTTAGGTCTGAGTAGGCTTGCTTGGAACGGGGGATGTTAGATGCTAGTAGCAACCAGAACAGAATGATCTTCACCTTTCCCTGAAAGCAGAGTGGGAACCACTCTGGTGAAAAAGACCAACACTTGTTTTACAGCAGGTGAACTGGTTTCCCTCCTCCTTTCCTGGTATTCCACTTGCGGGCCAATCCACAGCCCGCAAGCAACTTTCTGGGAAGTCCCCAATGGTTCCCCCAAAAGTCTCCACTTCCTGCCTCACTTGTGTGGACTTTTTCTAGACTGAGGAATAGCAGCCTGGATGTCTATTTCAGCCTTGAAAAGTCCCATCGAGTTGAGGAAGAAAGTAGGGCAGAGCAGTTCTTTACCTACTTCTTCCTTTGTCTTTCTGGAGTTTCCCGATCTCTGGGATAAAGAGCTGAGTCGGCTCTGGATCAAGTTGACAGGTTCACCTCTGTGAAATTGTCTGCTGTGTCATCTAAAGATAATTGAGGCATGTAGAAGCAAAGTAGGTTGGCTGCGAGTGAGCAGAGGATGGAAATCAGGGGAGATGCTGTTTGTTTGGGGGGGGCTGTGTGTGTGTGTGTGTGTGAGAGAGAGAGAGAGAGAGAGAATGAATGTGGATGAAGGGAAGAAAAAGGGGGCGTCCTTGCACACTTTGCCATTGGCTTTGCCCACCACTGGTAAAGGTAAAGGGACCCCTGACCGTTAGGTCCAGTCGTGGCCAACTCTGGGGTTGCGGCGCTCATCTCGCTTTATTGGCCGAGGGAGCCGGCGTAAAGCTTCCGGGTCATGTGGCCAGCATGACTAAGCCGCTTCTGGCAAACCAGAGCAGTGCATGGAAACGCCGTTTACCTTCCCGCCAAAGCGGTACCTATTTATCTAATTGCACTTTGACGTGCTTTCGAAGTGCTAGGTTGGCAGGAGCAGGGACCAAGCAATGGGAGCTCACCCCGTCGTGGGGATTCGAATCGCTGACCTTCTGATCGGCAACTCCTAGGCTCTGTGGTTTAACCCACAGCGCCACCCGCGTGCCGGCCCACCACTGGTATGCAGCCCTTAACCACGTTCCCCAGTGGGAACCGGCCCCCAAAGTTTCCCCACCCCTGCCGTATTCAATCAGTGGCTCTGAACCAGCCTAGGACTTTTGTCACAGAACACTGCATATGGAAATAATTTTCTTTGAATAAAAATACAGTCTAAAAGTATGGGAAACTCCCCCCTCCACCCCCACCCCTTGCCTTTGAGGGGTGGAATTAGGAAAATGTAGGCTTTTCTAGCATTTGGTATCTGTAATATATGTGCAAAATTAACCCTGAGGTCTCGTGTGTCCAAGGGGTTGTGGTGGAAATATTATGTAGAGTCTTACCCATCTTGCTGACAGAAGAGGAAGGTTTGCTAAAGTATCATCAGGCACACTTGTTGCGTTGTCACTTAATACTTAGGATAAATTCACTTTTGAATACATTTGTAGAGAAATGGAAGGAGTTAATATTTTTAATTGACAATGTGTTGTTGTTATTATTATTATTATTATTATTATTATTATTATTATTATTATTTGGATTTGATATCCCGCCTTTTACTCCCCTTCAGGAGTCTCAAAGCGGCTAACAATCTCCTTTCCCTTCCTCCCCCACAACAAACACTCTGTGAGGTGAGTGGGGCTGAGAGACTTCAGAGAAGTGTGACTAGCCCAAAGTCACCCAGCAGCTGCATGTGGAGGAGCGGAGACGCGAACCCGGTTCCCCAGATTACGTGACTACTGCTCTTAACCACTACACCACACTGGCTCTCAGTGTGGTAATAATAAAATTATAATTATATAATTCAGTGTGGTAATAATAAAATTTATTACCACACTGGCTCTCAGTGTGGTAATAAAATAATAATTTTATTATTTAAAATTAGGAAGTACAACATTTACATATTTGAGATATAGAACACCTTTGAGAGATACAGTCATAACTCGGGTGGAATATGCTTCATGTTGAGCACGTTTGAGTTGCACTCCGTGGCAACCCGGAAGTCACGGAGCGCGTGACTTCCGGGTTTCGCTGCTCATGCATGCGCAGGCGCTCAAAATGACCGCATGCGCAGAAGCGGCGAAAAGCAACGCGCACAGACGTGCTGTCGATAGTTACGTTTGCTTCTAGATGCAAATGGGGCTCCGGAACGGATCCCGTTCGCATCCCGAGGTACCACTGTATCTACCTTTCCAGTTTGTGCTCCTCATATAAACTAGATGCAAGATGCTAGATAATGTGAGCAGTGCTAATTTTTTTTCTAGAAAAATAGGTGCCGGTACTCATTGTGAAGTTGTTACATTAAGTGCCACACTTTTTAACAACAAAAAAGAGAAGTGCTGGTAGTACGTATCCTTCAATATCCCCTGGGGCGGGGGAGAGAAGCGCTGAATTGTTGAGTCTAATGGTATGGACAGCAGGCTGATGAATAGATTTAGCAGTTATATTTATTTATAAAAAGTATTTAAATGACCCCGAGTGCCAGTGAACTGCCTCCTTCCCACTCATTCATTGCGAACGCTGACCCAAATACTAAACGCTGGTAAATGTGTGTGAGTTGCAAATGATAACAAAAGCAGAGAAAACCAGAGCCATTCTTTAAAATAAAAGTAGATTGCTATGTTCAGTTTACATTATTTGCATGTATGTGCTCAGTCAATGGCTTTTGGTACAAGAATGTGGGTAATTTAAAAGAATACAAGCGACCCTGTTTTAATATGTGAAATGCTGGAGGGATGGGTTTTTCCTCTCTCTCTTTCCATAGTCCTTCTCTGCACTGCTTATTTATTAATGAGTTTTCTCCTCTGAACCTCTTCACACTTCCTCACAATTCTGTCAAGTCCATCCTGGCTTCTCTCTTGGGTGAAAAGATAGGAATCTCTCTTCTGAACAGAAACATGGAACCACTAGGGGGCTGCATTTACAGAGGGACAGGGATAAAATTGCATCAGTCCCCCCCCCCTCCTCTCTCTCTCTCTCTCTCTCTCTCTCTCACACACACACACACACAATATGTGTTTTAAGACACTGAACCTTAACATCTCCCCCCCTTCCAACCTTCAGAGCATTTTTAAAAATTTAAAAATTCTTTTTCTTTAAAAGTCTTGTAAAAAAATAATTTAGGATGGCCTTCGCACTGGCATGTAGAGAGCATCTTCCTATGTTGGAAATAACATTCACAGTACTCTCAGAACATCACTCAACAGTTCACCTTCTTAGTATGGTGAACTTACTGAATCTTTAATATTTTGATGCAATAAATTGAAGCCGTTACCCTATAGTGATTAAATTAATACACTTTCCCAAGCTGTACATTAACCCTTTTATGTTTTTGTAAGCTATATATTTTCTTTATATCGTTTGCAAGCAGTTGATGAGATACTACAAATTAGGACTCTGAATTCTGATCAATTTCAGCTCCCCCCACCCTCGTCTTGTTAAATAACAAGAAATGTGAAATGCAGAGCTTATGATGTAATCCTTGCTGTCTATATCGATTCTGGGATGAGAAAATCATTTCTTCCAAGTTTCAAATTGGTTTACCAAATAACGGACAATTCCTGGAATAAAAACAGCAGCACACACACCAAGAGAAACTTGCATGTTACTTTCGCAGTAGGAATTTAAGAGGCTGCAAGACTAAAACATTCCAGTATAATCTACACGATATCAAATAAATAGGGCAGGGTGCAATCCTGCACTGAAGATATAGCAACTGGGGAACGATAGGATTCTGTGGGAGCCCTGCTATGCTGGCAAAACACCTTGGATAAGCTGGTGCAGACTCCACTGGCAGAGCCATTTCACCAGTGTGAAGATACGCCAAAGGAATGGCTGAACTGGGAGATGAGAGTCACGGGTGGGATGTGGGGAGCACAGGGAAGAAGCACATGGTTAGTCCACATCTATACTGCTTCAGTTCATGGCCACAGTCCTGTTGGCAATGCGACACCATTCCCAGACACTGTGCACAAAATTTCAATGGGAGGGGGGGGAATACATTGACAACTACCCCTTCTTTTTTTAAAAAAAGTTTTATTTATTTGGTTTTTCATTTAAAATTTCACAATCGTATATTGAACATAAATTATAAAAACAAGATTCTAAGGCATCTCCTGGACTTCCATCCTCCCCTTTGTGGGTCTCATTAGAATAGAATAGAATAGAATAGAATAGAATAGAATAGAATAGAATAGAATTTATTATTTATACCCTGAATAGAATAGAATAGAATAGAATAGAATAGAATAGAATAGAATAGAATAGAATAGAATAGAATAGAATAGAATAGAATTTATTATTTATACCCTGTCCATCTGGCTGGGCTTCCCCAGCCACTCTGGGCGGCCTCCAACAGAGTATTAAAATACAGTGGTCTGTTAAACATTAAAAGCTTCCCTAAAGAGGGCTGCCTTCAGATGTCTTCTAAAAGTCTGGTAGTTCTTCTCTTTGACATCTGGTGGGAGGGCGTTCCACAGGGTAGGTGCCACCACCGAGAAGGCCCTCTGCCTGGCTCCCTGTAACTTGGCTTCTCGCAGTGAGGGAACCACCAGAAGGTCCTCAGTGCTGGACCTCAGTGTCCAGGCAGAATGATGGGGATGGAGACACTCCTTCAGGTCTACTGGACTGAGGCCGTTTAGGGCTTTATTCATTATTAATCATTTCCTCCTGCATCTTTTATGATGATCCAAATCTCCATTATATCAAAAATTCACCATTAAACTACAAGTGATATTAAAGGTAAAGGGACCCCTGACCATTATGTCCAGTCGTGACCGACTCTGGGGTTGCGGCGCTCATCTCGCTTTATTGGCCAAGGGAGCCGGCGTACAGCTTCCGGGTCATGTGGCCAGCATGACTAAGCCACTTCTGGCAAACCAGAGCAGCACACGGAAACGCCGTTTACCTTTCTGCCGGAGTGGTACCTATTTATCTATTTGCACTTTGACGTGCTTTCGAACTGCTAGGTTGACAGGAGCAGGGACCGAGCAACGGGAGCTCACCCCGTCACGGGGATTCGAACTGCCGACCTTCTGATCGGCAAGTCCTAGGCTCTGTGGTTTAACCCACAGCGCCACCCGTGTGTGATATTACAATCCTACTAATGATTTTAACTGTTTACAGTCGTCTTTAATAGAAGCTATAATTTTTGCCCATTCTTTATTAAAATTTTGCTCTTCCTGGCATAGTCCACCAACTTCATCAGCCATTCTTCTCTGGTAGGGACTTTTATCTTCTTTCCATCTCTGGAAAACTGTCCCTTCTAGGTCACCGCAACAGAGCATAGTGTATTGCGGGACTCGGCACCCAGTTACAGCACACCAACACCCAGTATATAAAACCCCAAAACTCAGATGATGAGATGCATGGCATGAGGCTATAACTCTCTAGCACTCGCCATGCACCCTAAGAGCTCACAAGGTTCTGGCAATGGGAAATTATAAAGAAAGGACACTTCACACAAAACTGTTCAGAATACACATGGGGACTTGACACTGCTAATGCTTCTGTGCCTAGAACTCTTTAGCAGGTACCTCACCTTGGGACTCCAGACACATCAAGAAGACTCACTCAACACAATGAGAACGGCAGGACAGAGCACCCAACTCAGGTAAGCAAGGGAAGGGTGAGGGACACATACCTGCTGTCTCCCATGTTTCTCCCAACCTATTTGCCATTGCCTCAATGGTGCAGTGGGGAGAAGTGTCTCACACATGCACGGGAGGCCCTCATCCCCACACGCAGGTATTTTTTTTTATTTTTTTGGCCGGGCACCCCGTTCCGAGCCTTGCTACAGCCGTCCAAACATACGTCAGCACTTTTTCCTTCGGTGCATAGAGCGAAACAGCCGTGTTTCACTGCAAACCCCAAGGGGGTAATAAAGTCTCTGCAACCTCCCTTTCAGTGAAGGGATGAGGCTTTGGAAGAAGCGCTGGCTCAACAGCCAGGTTGTGGCACCACTCCTCCTTCCCTGTCACTTCTTTACAAACATCTGCCATGCATCCAGTAGATTTGTGTAGTGTGTGACTACTGCTCTGAATTCTCTTGTGTCTCCTGCTTTTCTACAGGCTGCTTCCCGCAAGCGCAGGATTTATCCCACACAGCGTTCTGTGCAGAAGGGGGACGTGACCAGGAGCAGTGTCCAGGATGCTTCCACCTGTTCCCCTGTGGAGGAACGGAAACACCTGTAGCTCCATGGCAAACCGTTAAGGAACAGGTGAAGGTGTCCCTCACCTGAAACTGGTGCCTGCTGCCCACCAAGCTACTGCACAGGAGCCCTGCTGGGGCGACTGGTTGGCAACCCCACCCCCTCTATGTGTCTTTCCTTGCCGGGATCAACCATCCTAAAAGCTGCTCAGTAAAGGTTTTGCAATTGGCCTGCGTGTCGTTTCTTTATTTCCGATTGACAGATGGGAATCCCTTTCTCGCACCCTAGTAGGATCTGACTTCTTTTGGCCTGGGGGGTGGCACTCTGATGGGGCAGGGAACGCGGTGAAATCAGGGGCAGTGGCCCCCAACCCTCTTGCAGCTGATTTTTCTTGGGTTGCCTGGGGGCAGGCCTTGCAGTGTGAACAAATGGGAGGGAGGGAGGGATGACACCAACCAGTCTAGCCTATTAGGCAAAATAGCAGGGCTGGGGAGGGAGGGGGGAATCTGTCATGTGGGTTGCCTGGGGAAGGATTGGGCCAGAAAGGCTGGGTGGCCATGCAGGAAACGTGTCTGGCTTGCTGCTGTTGGAAGCAAGACACTCAGCTGAATTTATTGTAATCTAGTCCAGCGAAGGCAGATTTATCAATTTTTTTGCAGGCTGGTTCTGCTCTGATAGCAATAATTTCACCATGGATATCTTTATTTGCTTGCATTAGGAAATGTGCTCTTTATTGGTAAGCATTGTGACGGTGTCTCTGCTAAGAAAATGTGCTCCCTCACACAAATAGGCACAGACCTTTTTCTCGTGGCAGAAAGCAGGAACTTCTCAACCACCTGCTGAATATTCTTATTTCAACTGATAAATATTAAAATGAATGAACAATGGCCAGTCAGATAAAAAGGGGAGAGCTCTTGAAGTTACTGCGCATTTGCATAGAGATTAGCTATGGAGACTCGACTTCCTCTTTTCCTCATATGAACACACTGCAGGCACATTTGGACTGGATATAAAAGGATGGGGAAAGTTGCTGTTTTTCAACATTTCAAAATTCTACCTATTTGTTTTCCCAGATACATGTTCAACTTTTCGGTTTGCAGCACAAGTGAACGTTTGAAACTGACATTTGTTTTAATATTATTTGAGTTGCAGGCTTGGAAAGAAGTATTTATAGATAGAATGAGTTTGTTTACAGGAGGGTGAATTTCAACTGAACGTTAGGAAAAAAAAACCAGGTTGTTTCTGAGCAAGCTAAGAGGATCTGGTAGCTATATTTTGGTTTTGCTCCTTTATTAGTCCTGACATTAGCCTGCTAAGTCATCTTCAAAGCAAGCTTCCCCCCCCCCACCCCTTATGATTTTATATCCTTGGCTTTATCAATTGTTGCGCCTACTTGCCATAATCATTGGGTGCAAGACATGAACCAGATACAACCCAGTTTGGCTTTTGTTGGCTTGTATCTTATGCAGATTTTTCCGCCACGCTTCTTTCTGCCAGTGTTAAGTCAAAGAAGTCTTACATTCAAGTGCCACCCAGTTTTCAGCTGAAAAAATGATTCACAATTTCCCCTTCTTTCCTTTTGCTTCTCATTGCCGCTTCTCCCTTGACAAAGTTTGGATCGCCATATGCAAGCCCACCATGGACATCATAAACCATTCCGCTGCAAACTCTGCCCTTTCAAGTCCTCCTATAACAGCCGGCTGAAAACTCACCTACTCAAAGCTCATGCTGGTAAGTCTTATTCCTCCATTTCATGGTGAAGAAGGTCTCTAAAGCATCTCTCCTTCCCCCCCACCCTTGCAGCTACTGCTGCTGTTAATCAGACAGCTTGTCATTTTTTAAAATCATTTTATTGCCTTGGAGTGTGCGTTCAACCCAATCAGGAGAAAGGTGTAGGTGCAGTGTTGAAGTTAAGGCAACATTACGTTGAGCAGAACTGAACTTGGAATTGGGCCAATCACATTAGGTGAAGAGGTGATCCCAAATTGGCAGGTCAGAACAGCAAGCCGGGTTGGAAATCAGGCCCATAAATTAATCTGCCATTGGGGCGGGAAGCAGAGAAAGAAGTAGAAGGAATGCTTTTGAGATTCCTTTTCAAGTCTTAAGGGTAAGGCTTTCTGGAAGACGTTTGCGAGGCAAATGCATTGAGCACTGTGGCAAGGGAGAGCTGTGTCAAATTTTCACCTTCAAACATTTTTAGATGAAATGCATGCTTTCAAAGAGTAGGGAAATCATCCTGAAAGGGGATTATCTTTCATTTTCCCCCATGCTCTATTTCAACCCGTGCGCAGCCATTCTCCATGCCCCTGCAAAAATACCTCGATGCTTTGCACTATTTTATTTATTTCAAAGAACCACAAAGGGCTTCTTCCACAATGTGCTTCTAGCCAATCAGGGATCCCAGGGTGAATGTAACGATGTCATGTCTACTTCAGTGAGAGCAAATGGAGTCACAGTGGAGCTCACATTAGGATGAACCCCGGAATGTACATTCAGACACACATGTCACGGAGAACAGTGGAATGTGTGCTTGAATGCGTGTTTTCATGCACATCCAAATGTGTGTTCCAAGAGACTCTAGTAGCTCATCCTGATATGCATTCCTGGTGCACACTTTGGCTGCTTCTCCCTGTTTTGTTGCATTGCAGTGCCTTCATTGCTGGCAGTGTTTCCAAACAAGGAGTGTCACCCTGGTTGGCCAGGGCAACTGGGATGCACCCCTTCTCCCCCTACAAGTGCCTCTTTGAGCATCTTCTCCCCCACCTCTACAAAGGAAGGAGAACTTTTTGATGGGTTCAAAAGTATTTATGTAACTCGGCTGTCCTGGTTTGGCTCAGCTCTGCTAAGAATCAGAACTAGAGAGGCAGGTTTCGTGTTCCCTGGAACCTAAACTTCCTACAGCAGCAGAAGAGAGCTTCATGGATGGGTGTGTTTGGTGGGAAATTAATGGATAGTAATTTTTGACCATGGTCTTCATTAGCAACCTTGTAGCCTGAAGGTAGTTCAGTTTAGGTACCTGATTTATTAGGAACTTTGGTATTCATTTCAAAACCCAAAAGCTCTGATCGGCTTTCCACTAAAGAGGCATAACTTCTTAGCTAAACAACAGCAGTATTTTTGTTGAGTTCTGTAGCAGCGGCCATTTCAAAGATAAAGGTGAGAAGCTTCATGCAGTTCCATTTAACATTTAAAGTGTGGGTTGGTTGTTGTTGTTCTTTTATATATTGATGCCAACGTGTTGTTCAAGCATGTTATCATTCGTAACTGTATCTGTGTCAAGTCCAGTTCTTGTGGTTCTCAGTATTATGATAAACTTATTGGCTATTTATTGGCATCGATGTTGTGTACATCTCCCATATGTAGCAATTCTGTCAAGTATTCCTGGAGCGTTCTTGGTTTTGTCGGGGGGGTGGGGCAGATTTTAGGGGTAGTGGGGATGTCTTCCTGGGAGGCTGTATGTTCTTGGGCTCTTCCCAATGTCCATTAGCTTAGTGTTAGCTCTTCCAAATTTGTTAGAGAACAGGACATGCTGAATTTTCTTTACTGAATGTGTCACATCTTGTCCTTAACTCCCCATAAGTCAATTATTTAAATTACGTTACTCCAACAATAACATTTAAAAATAATGGATGGGGTTCCTATGGTCTATAAACACTCACACACAGTCCACAAGCTTTATTAAATCACGTAACAATCATTCTTGAAGGCATGCATTTCAAAACATTGGGGCAGTGTGATTTCACAGTATCACTTGGTCCTTCTGAAGTAGTTTGGTAGTTAGTACAGAAGTTTGCATAGCAGGGTCCTTCTGCCTTAGCTGTTTCTTTCTTCAAACTATTCATGAAACGAATCACAGCTGTAAACCAGTTGGTGGCATTTTTTTTTTGTTCCAACTAAATATAAAGTTATGAAAGACATGGAGAGGAAGGATAAAGAGAGAGACCCCCCCCCTTCTGTCTCATATGTACAGAACTTTCTGCAGGTTCAAGATCAACAAGAAGTACTATTTTTACTCAGTGCAGGATGGATTTATTAATCCTTTAATAAAAGCCACTAGCCTAAGGTTAAACAAAATAATGCGGGAATACATCAGTGGCAGTAAGCCTACATGGACCTTTCATATACAGCAGGAATAGGGAATCAGTGGTCTTCCAGGTATTGTTGGACTACATCTCCCATAATCCCTGGTATTGGTGACTGGAGTTGATAGGAATTGCAGCCCCACTATATCTGGAGAGCTACAGGTTCCCCATCCCTGATATGCCAAGTCATTCTGCCTTTGAATTAGCAGATGCTCAGGACAAAATGCTTTCACATCTTGCATCTAAAGCTTCATGGGATATTGGTTGGCCAACGGAATGCTAGGCTGGATGGCCCCTTCTTCTGATCCAGCGGGACTATTCATTTCAGCTAATGCATGCACATAATGTAGCTCAGGGTTAGTTTCATTTGGCTGAACTGGGAAATGTCCAGATACTGCATTGTCATTTGAAATCTTTGAGGGGAAAGCACAAACGTTTTGCTGTTGACATAGCATTCCCATTTCTGTTCTGATGCAAACAACTTGGATCAGTTGGATTAAAATCTCTTGGGTTGAAATGTATAGCTGCACTTTGGCTTCTTCATTTGGCCTGCTGTCATTACTTTTTTTCTTTTCTTTGTTGTTGTTGTTGTTGTTGTCGTCAGTTTCATAACTTAAAGTCTGTTGCCGCTTTCTCCCCAGTCATTTCCGCCAATCTGCAGCATAACGATTGATTATTATACTTCACTGTGTTTTTTTCTGATTTGTTAAGTTTGGACAAGGTTGTTGCTGCTTTAAATGGTAGAGAGAATCTTACAAAATTCTGAGCATAGTGGCTTTGGCACGGGCAGCTAACGGCAGCAGTCCGTAGATGAAGTAACATAAACCCAGTTTATGTGAGCATGAAAAGGCATTTGTGCAACAACCAGTGGGGCCAGTGGGATTTATTTTACTCACCCACTGCCCAGTTTGCCTGTATTCACCCTGCGACCCAGTTTGCCTTTGTAATGGGCTTGACTGTAACATGCATAGGCCCAACTAAGTGGGATGTTTCACCAACAGAAACAGGAATAAGTATGGTGGGTGGTGAATAGGGAAGATTTGTGGGCCCTACTTTATGTGTGTAGGTGCCACTTGCCTGTGGGTGACACAAACGAGAGGAAAGGCAGCGGGGCTTGAGGCCTGCTGTGACCCAATTAAATGTATTTTGGGGTATGCATTGCTATTGGAAAACAGGAATCCTATGCCTACCCTTGTGGGGCTGGATCTTTCCTCTTTGCTGCTTTCTCTGTTGATTCCAAATGGCATGATCCCATTCCTGCCTCAGCTGCTTGCAATCCTTTCCCCCCCTTCTTCTTTTTTTTGAATTCCTGCACTGACCAACTCATCTGTTTTCTGGAAAGGAAGCGGTGGTGTTTGTTATGCTTAGTTAAATATTTTAGAGCCATTTCATCGCCCCAAGTTAATTGGTTTGATGCTTGCTTTAAGAGTCTCCTTTGGCTTTCTCCTTCATAAGCAAATCATGCATCTCTTTTTGGAACCTCTCTTTTGTGCACAAACCCAGAGGGCGCTATGAACCACACTAAATATACTGCTGTGGACTTGGGCGTCTGTGAGCTTTTCCGTATCAAGCGATCTGTGCTGTCCCATTATCATCATCACATAGGATGGTTGATAAATACAGTCCCCTTAAATCAGAGTTTTTAAAAGGCATTAATTTGGCTTATAACACTCGATAACACACTTCCTTTGTTGTGGCCAGTGGCCCATGTACATATTCGGGTCCATGGTCCTTCTGTCCAAGGAAGGACCAGAAGCAGGGCTCACCCTCTGTGCACAGCCTCACGTTGACCTTCTCATGCCCCTCTCATGGAGAAGTGAAGGACTGAGATCCATTTATTTGAATGTAGGATCTCCCTGCCCTATGGGACCCAACCTTTTCGGATTGGACCCAGACGGCCCAAGAAATCTCCTGTTTCGGTCATTCACTTTTCTCCACAGTGGAGAGGGGAGCATGGGGAGAAGCAGAAAAGGTGAATAACAAGGAATCATGGAAACTGAGTGCCGTCTCTCACTGGATACAATCCTGGCTGAAGAAAGAAAATAATATGATTTCCCATTTATTCACCAATCCTCCAGAAAATGTTACAAATGCTGGTCAGTCCCCTTTCATGTCGGTGCAAGGTATACAGTTTAGGTTTTGCACAGTTCCAGCTTTAGTATGTGATAGAGGACTTTCTGTTTCCAAAGTGGGATTATTTTCACTACGTGGGATGCTATCTCCTCTGTGTGTGCCACATCACAACCCCGTCTTGGCCACTTTTGCTTCTCAGGTCATGGCTGCTTCCACATGCACTCCAAAAGCTGCTTTGCAACTTCTTTACGGCTTGGACCACAGTTCCTAACTGCATGGCTTTTCTTCTTTCCTTTGGCTCCTGTAGCACAGTTTCCATCTGGCTTTGTAATCTTGACTGTACAATGGCATTCTCAAGTTCTGTCCTTTATTGTTAACCTGCTCTGGCCCAAGCACTGGTTATGCTGCATCTCATTCCCAGGCCCTGCTTCATTGTGTTAGGCTTGCATAGCTCAAGGATTATCAGTCTGGCAGATGGTTTCACGTTGGGGGGGGGGAGAGCTCGTTCTTAGAGAACGGTTAGGAAGACGGATGGCAAAGGGGTGATACCAAATACAATGGCATTATATACAGAGAACAGTAAAGCAAGGGATTTCTGAGGAGCTGTTTGCAGCCTGCATCCTCTAATGCCATAACCTTTCAAATTTCTGGTTTGTTTTATATATACGCTGCTGTCCTTGCGTGCAAGAAAACATAAATGGGCATTTCTCCACTTCCAAGTCAACTTCCAAAGAAAGCATTAATGAGCAACACCCACCCGCCTTTTCAATTCAATGGGGTGTCTATGATTCCTCATCCATGGCCTCATGACCCGAATCACGATTGGGCAATGGGCACATCATTGGCCGCATGACCCACTAAGAGCCATGTCACATGAACAATGTGTTTGTGGTGTCAACTTCCACCGTAGCTGTTTCCTTTCTTGAATCTTGGAAGGTTGGCTTGTTTGCCACAGGCAAAAGCTGTCCATTCTGCACCACTGCCCCCCGTCGCAACCTCAGAGTAGCTTTGGGCTGGCAGCTTCTACTTGTGGCAAATAAAACCAGCTGGTCCAGTTGCCGTGCACAGTTAGGAGCTACAACCAGGGAGACAAAAGCATCCTCTGTGATGGCCCTATTGGCCCCGAGACCAATAGAAATAGGACAGTTAAAATGATTTTACTCTCTTTTTAGGACTACCCAGAGGAGGAACCCATGGGATTCTCACTGCTGAGTTGAATAGGAGGAGAAAGAGATTGCCCCCTTCCACCTACCCCTCTCCTCCCTTCCTATTCCCCACCCCACCTCTCGTCTTGTGAGCTGATGACTTGCCTGTTATTTCGCTCACCCAGGTGAACATGCCTACAAATGCTCCTGCTGCTCATTTTCCACCATGACAATCAGCCAGCTGAAAGAGCACTCCCTGAAAGTGCATGGGAAGGCACTGACACTACCAAGACCACGCATTGTCAGCCTTGTAACCTCGCATGCTCAACATGCCTCCATGAACCACACTACCGCTGAAGAAGTGGAAGACTCTAATGGTAAGAGGCGCTTCCATTAAAAAACAACCACAACAACCCTAGAGGGAGGAATCAAATTCTTCTCTTTACTGGGGGAAAAAAAGCAGCTTGATCAAAGACATAGTTCTGATTTAGAAAAAAAACAAAAAAAAAACCAGTTTCCAAATGAGCAAATCACTATCCAAATGGATGCTAACAAGCTGTTGGAGAGCCGTGCTAATTCACACTCCAACCCTTATAATTGGCATGTAAAATATTCTGATTTGCCTGCCTTTCTCATTGAGTATTTTAGGGTTCCATGTTGTTAGTACTTCAGGTTACAGACGCTTCAGGTTGTGCGTTTTCGGGTTGCGCACCGCGCCGAACCCAGAAGTACCGGAATGGGTTACTTCCGGGTTTCGGCGCAAGCTCAGAAGTGCTAGATCACGCTTTGTGAATGCGCAGAAGCGCCAACCCACGCAGATGCGGCGCTGCAGGTTGTGAACATGCCTCCCGCACGGATCACGTTCGCAACCTGAGTGTCCACTGTACTTTAGAACAAAAAGTGGAAATGTATGTGCCCCAGCTAAGGGGCACATAGCGGATTTTCTTGTTGCAGAAACAAGCCTAAAGTATTGTTCTGTTTTTGGCTGTTACCACGAGCGTAGTGACTGGTGCTTGAGGAGACAAACAGATTTCTTCACTTTCACATAAGCGCATTTGGAGTCAGTACAGATGTAATGAGGACCTTCCTTAACCATGGTTATGGAATGGACCACAGAATAGCTCCCTCCATCCTCTCCCCACTCTCATCCAAATTCCTGCATATCCTTTCTCATGTCAATTAGGGAGTGAAACCATCCATACTGGCCCTCAGGGATATTCTGTAGGAACAATGGCACCTCTAAGGAGAGCATTATGGGAATTCTGCACACTATGAGTTGTTAGAATAATTCAATGCTGTTTGAGACTTTTTGCCTGCAATGGGGTGCTATCTGTTCCAAGAACACTAGGAAATCTGGAGTCATGTTACTTATTTCTGCAGAATTAACCTGATGGTGTATCTAAGGCAGAATGGGCTGCAGTTTGTATCTTGAGAAATCCTGTTGATCTTTGCTTGACCATAATAATATATGAATTCTAGTCTTCCTGTAAGAGGTAGACCCCCTAATCATGCATTAGCTCATATTCTACCCTTCTAAATCATATAAAACTGTGTTTTAGAAGCCGCTGATAGTTTGCTTCCAGACGGAGCATTCTGGAAAATCCAATGGATGCATAAAACTCTCATTTGTTCTCTGTGAATGTTTCAGTATCCAGATTCAGTGTCAATAGATCCTTCTGCTACAAAACTTAATAATGGTATAGTGTTTTATTTGAGAGTTAACAATGCTACATGTGCATGATCTTGCTGTAACTTCACAGTGGTTGGAGGGTATCTGTGGTTCTCCAGATATTGGACTACAACTCCCATCATCTCATAGGAGTTGGCATCCAACAACGTATGGAGAATCACAGGTTCCCACCCCTGTAGTACTGGGTACAGTGGTGCCCCGCAAGACGAATGCCTCGCAAGACGGAAAACCCGCTAGACGAAAGGTTTTTCCGTTATGGAGGTGCTTCGCAAAACGAATTTCCTATGGGCTTGCTTCGCAAGACGAAAATGTCTTGCGAGTTCCTGCGGGGTTTTTTCCCTCCCCCCCCCCTTTTCCCCAAGCCGCTAAGCCGCTTATCAGCTGATCCGCTAAGCCGCTTAACAGCTGATCCGCTAAGCCGCTAAGACGCTTAACAGCTGATCCGCTAAGCCGCTTATCAGCTGATCCGCTAAGCCCGCTAATAGCGCTAAGCCGCTAAGCCGCTAATGGGCTTGCTTCGCAAGACGAAAAAACCGCAAGACGAAGAGACTCGCGGAACGGATTCTTTTCGTCTTGCGAGGCACCACTGTAGTTATATTTTTCCCTATATGGCATGTGGGAGGACAGCTGAGCAAGAGAGTGCCTTCCCTAAAGCCATTTAGCGAGTTGGCAGAGGCTGTGATATTTGACTAGGGACTTCCTGATTCTCCACTCAGTTTCCTACACAAAGAAATGATGTCTAGCAATGAACTCATCAGGTGGTGAATGAACAACTTGAGAGCATAGTTAAGCCCTGAACTAAAACCAGGGAGGTAAACCAAGTAAGCTTTTTTCCTAACATTGGCAAAGATGATGATTTATCCTGTTCCTTATTGTAAATTTGCGTAGTTGGTTTTATGTTTGTGAACATTTGTGAGATAGAAAGAGTAATTCATGTGGACTTTGGGTAGTTTCAAACCCTTGTCATTTGCTAATGCTAAAATTGGTTTCACCCATTGGGCAGCAATGCATTTTCCGTTGAGTGTACATTCAAAAAGGAGAAGCTGGTCACAGTTCATTGATGAGTGTACCAATATGGTACACGTTTTGTAAAATTCACACGTTTTTTTTTTAAGTGTTCCTTTGAAATGTCTTAGAAATGTACACCTAGAACCAAAATGTGTGAAGCATTGTTAGAGAAGTTGTGCATATGTTCTCAAAATCTTAAGAGTGAGAGAGGGTTGCTTCCTCTATTTTTAAATAAAGTTTTTTTCCTCTTGGTTACAGCTTTCTAATAATAAGCAGCCAACACATCTATTGCCAGGATGTCTCTGTTAGTCAGACCAGCTTCAGGAACAGAGACAATGCCCGTTCACCCTTAACTAATAGGCTTGTTAATCAAATTATTTTTGACAATTATGGAAGCTACCTACTAAGGAGACTGTCAGATTACAGGTGTTGGAATAATCAAATTGGCATTCTCAGCACTGCTTGATAAAGAAGGAAATCCCTTCTGCCATTTTCTAGGCTTTATGGTACTAGCCATAGACTGATGGATTTGGATTGTGGTGGTGACTTAGTTTGCTTTTGGATTTCTAGAAGGGTATTGCAGAGCTGAAAGTCCCTGGCTTTTTGAAAACGGAAAACTTGTACATTGCTGGTGGTGCATAAGGGCGAGATAAAGACATTGATTGAAAGTACACCAAAAGCAGAGGGGGTACGTGAGATGAGTTTGCATGTACAGCTGAGAGGGGTATAAAATGTGGAGTTCAGACACGACAGGAGGATCGCCACTGTTCTTGTGTGTATAAGCAACCTCTGTTTGAGGACAAGCTCATAATCGAGTTAAATTTGCCAATGGTATGTAATTTGATCAGTGGTGAGCATGAACAATAAAACCTTGGGGATTCATTCGGTGATGCACAAGCAGTCTTTGTCTCATGCAGTGGAACTGTGTAACTTCCCTTTCCTCTCCTTCCTCCATTCCACCCGGAAAATCTGCTCGGGGCTTTGCTTTCTGGAGCAGATTTTGAGGGAGTGAGGAAGAGCAAGGGCAAGATCCATTGCAACAAGTTGGAAGTCAGTTCCGTGAGCGGAACAGCAGGATTGGATACAGCCCTGGGTCTTTTTCTTGTATGGCAAATTGAAGAGGCGGGAATTCAGGACCATTAAAGTTAATGAGCAGTGTTAATCAAGGAGGTTGTGCTATATGTGCAGCGTAGGTAATCCCAATCAATGTGCACATTAATTGGGAAGAGTAATATGTGTGCATGTGTTTTTATTTATTTACGAGGATGTCTAGGCCTCCTTTCTGCCATAGGCTACTTCTAAAGAACGTAAGGAACATATACAATTTGGCCAGGATGGATGAATTGGTTCAAATATAGGTGATTTTAATCAGCGAGAGGGGAGGGGGGGGAGAGAGGCTGTTTTAAGCCATTAATTTAAATCAACCCACCTGTTGACACTGCTTCATATATTTACTTTCAAATGGTGCAGACCTGAGCACTGAACAATGGAGCATCCAAAAGTGGCAAAGAGGGAAACCCCTGGGCCTGGCAAACTTCCCCTGCTCTCCCCACCAGCATATTCTGGGAGATCAAGAGGGCTTTGGGATCCAAAGGTGTTCTCGATTTGCCCTGACATGCCTCTGGAATGTCTGCATTTTGTTCTCCCTGCCACAAGAGCATCATTTGCAGAGGGGAAACGGCAGAGGTTTCCTTGGGTGCAATGAGGAGGCCCCTATGGATGAGATCTCCTGCTCTGCCCATGAATCTCCCTTTTCCCCTACACAGAGGAAGGTCTGCAAAACCCTTTGACTCCCTTCAGTAACCGTAAGGCAGGGGTCGGCAAGGTTTACCTCGCCTGGGCCAGTTCACTCCCGCAGAGATCACTCTGTGGGCCGGATTGTGTCTGTGCATTTGCAGACACGATTTCCAGCGCCACGGAAGCGAGTCCCTGCTCTGCACTGCACCGGTTTAGCACAGCACACGGGGACTCACCGAGCGGGCGGCACGGTTCGGGGGCCATTTAAACGACCCCCATGGGCTGCTTGTGGCACATGGGCAGCAGGTTGCCAACACCTGTTGTAATGTCTATATCTGTCTGTCTGTCTACAGATAGGTAGCTGTGTTGGTCTGCCATAGTCAAAACAAAAAAATTTCCTTCCAGTAGCACACGAAAGCTCATACCAAGAACTAACTTAGTTGGTCTTTAAGGTGCTACTGGAAGGAATTTTTTTTTTGTCTGTCTGTCTGTCTGTCTACCTAAATGTTTGCTAAGCCATTTTTCTCAGAATGACCTAAAGTGGCTTATATTAGAACCAATTAAGAACATCCAAGCTAAAACTATTGTTTACACCACATGGCACTTTCCCCCCATAGAGGAAACAATGTGGGCTCTAAAAAGATAATAGGGGTGTTATTCAACTTAAGTTTTGGAAATGAATAAACAGACTGTTTAATAGGTCTGTGCAAACTTAGTTGAATGCCATCCTTGGGAACTGATACTGAAACAAATATTTAAAGCTAAAGTTTCTGTTCTGCAAACTTCCGCACTTCAAGTTCATACCTTAATGCATTTGGGAGCTTTTCAGGAAAAGTTGTCAAAGAGGTTATTAATGTTTCCTTTTTTGATTTATGACTACATAATTCCTAGGAGGCATAGTATGCCGAGATTATATCATCTTGCTTTAAAATGTAGGGCCAA